AACATTCTAACAGCCCAGGATCAGGGCATGATAACAGCACTACTGCTCCTGGACTTCTCACGTGCATTCGACTCGATAGATACAAGTCTTTTGCTATCCAAATTATCGTACTATGGAGTAGATGCAAAAAGTCTGAGATGGTTTGATAGCTACCTCACAAGCAGAATGCAGTATGTGGAACTTACCAGGGTGGATGGGTCCAAATCCAGGTCAACCCCACTTCCAGTAACAAGGGGTGTAACGCAGGGATCTATTCTGGGGCCTATCCTCTATATTTTATACAGTGCAGACATCACACAGATCATTAGCCACTGCAAGCACCATATGTATGCTGATGACCTTCAGCTTTATCTGTCCTTTTCACCACAAGAGCGTGCCGATGCTGAAAAAAAGATAAATGAGGATCTCCAAAATGTATCAACCTGGTGCACATCTAACTGCCTAATGTTAAATCCTACGAAGTCCAAGCTTATGCTATTAGGTACCAAAAAGAAGTTACAAATATTCAGAAGTAGTGAACTACCATTCAACATATGTATACAAGGAGAAACCATTGAGCAGGTGCACTCAGCAAGAAACCTGGGACTTATCCTCGACAGCCATTTGAAATTTGAAGAGCATATCATTGAGTGTGTCAGAAACTGCTTATATCGCATAAAGCTTTTATATAAAATTAGGCCCTATATAAGTGAGGATTTAAGGGTTAAGCTATGTGAGTCGCTCATTCTCTCCAAACTAAACTATTGTGATGTTGTTTATGGCCCATGTTTTTTGTCCAGGTCTGCCAAAATGATCCAGCGAGTACAGAATGCCTGTGCTCGTTACTGCTTTCATGTACCACCACGTTCGCATATATCGCCATTTCTTAATGCTGCAAACTTGCTGAGAATGGAATCACGGCGAAGGCTTCACCTGGCTACCTTATTATTTGGTGTCATACATACAAACAAGCCACAATACCTGTTAGACAAGTTGGTCTGGTTGCAGGAGCACCTTAAGTACCATAGGCGTCTATGCGCCCATGTCTTTTTGACGCCCCAGCATTGCTCAGTAGCTTTCAGGGGTTCATTTAAATTCGCTGCTTCGCGATGCTGGAATGACCTTCCACCACCAATACGCGACCTAAAAACAAAACTCACTTTCAAGAAACATTTTAAGGCATATCTATTATCAATGCAAGTAGGAATGCAGTGACATGGCCGAGTGATAAATTCATATCGTATAGTTCGTCTATCACCCCATACAGACAGCTCTCTATTAACAAAATAATTAAATCTCATTGTTCCGATATAGCCATTTCACTTGGATCGCACAATTGGACAGTAAGTTCCTTTTTTCCATCACAATATATATATAACATATACACTTACCCAAGCCTGCGTCGTTCAAGTTGCAGCACTGAAACAGTGCAAGGTATGAGCGACGGAGAAATCGAGCCTGATGCATCTTTTGTTGCTTGTCCATTTTAGCGGTTTGAGTTTGTTTCTTTTTCCTGTTGAGATCTTGATGTTATAAATTAAAACTACCACAAATAAGTCACCGCAAAGTAGCAAAAGTAATGCGCACGAGGCCATTACGTGGCATCACAGAACAATATTACTCGTGGCATAGAGCACAAAGGTCACATCACAATCACAGATTACTTTAGTTGAATAAGTTCACTTTGCAGCACAGACAGAGTTTCAGTGCAAGGGGCTGCGTTCGGAAACTGCGCTCCGGGTGCGACATGTGCCAGTTTGACTTATGCTTCATGTATTTTAGTTTAAAACTGAAACGGCATTTATAAAAGTTTCGTCCTGGGCGGGGGTGCCGGACGTGATCCATTATTATTAAGTAATAAATGTTATGAGCATAAAATATTTTAAGAATAGGTTACAGCTTTTCCTCTCATAAGCTAGCGCTCCCACAGTCACTCTCGCTTGCGATGTGTCAATCGGATTGGACAGCAGACTGTCCTTATCAGTCGTTATGGCGAGTGATAGGGAGGGACTGTCGTTCGGTTTACGGGTGGCTGTGTGGAGGGCTGGCGTTATAGTAGTAGTGTAGTAGTTATAAGTAGAAATAGAGTTATTTGTCCAGAATTAGTTACATAAGTGATTGTTTTGCTTGTTCCGTCTTTCGCATATCACCCTTACCATAAGGCGCTGGCTGAAAATCAGCGCTACTGTGGTATCACGAAAGCGACTGCCACAGAGCATAGCTGAGCCAGCGACCTGTTGGCCTCGTACGGCATAGTATTAAGTTCTTTTTTTTATTATTGTCTATGTTTTATTTGATGTACCGTTCTGTTACACTTATTTCATGCTGTAGGGGTCAATAAAATGTTTTTCTTTCTTTCTTTCTTTCTTTCTTTCTTTCTTTATCAAAAACGAGTGGTTGCTGTGGAAAAGAGACAAAAAATTTACAACAGTCAGTGACATTTTTTGTCCTACCCTAGATGACAACTCAGGTCACCATTGGACAGTTTAAATTTTCACAGGTTGCCGCACATACATTGCCGTTACAAAAGTATAATACAGTAAAAAATCAAGTTAAAAGTTAAAGGGTGGGTATCAGTTTTCAAACCAGAACTCAAAATAAATTTCGTCCTCCGCATCGAAAAATTGTCGTTTTACCTTAAATTTTTACTTAAGATTTAATAACGTTAAAACTTTTTTATTCTGATACATCGAGGTTCTCTTAACTTTTTGGAGGACTATATGTTTTTTTTTTCATTAATTACATACAATAAGCTAAGGTAAATTATGTATACTTTTCGTTTAAGAGTTTGAGAAAATACTCATTAAATACTCGGCTAATTTATATGGTTTATATAAGAAGACTCCAACAAAAAATTATAAAAAATTCAGTACAAAATTACGATGTTATACGCGAACAACAGTAAAAAACTGCTTATGAACTGAATAGCTCCTCCAGCCAAATCACCCATTAAATTGTCCATAAAAAGTAGTATGATAGAGCAAAAAATATTAAAAAATTGCCTACAAACAACGACAAAGCTATGACATAGGACATTTGTCTCTCTGTCTGTCTTTGTACAAACTTTATAACAGGCATTTAATAAAAGACAAAACAAAACGGATGTTTATATTAAAACTTTGAGATTTCTTCCAAAAATGTCACCCTCCACAAAGCTGTAATGAAAGTTTAAATTAACCATTGCTTAATCTAATTTAACCCTAAATAAGTCAGTTATTAAATAATTTATTTAAGGGCTATAATCCTGACAAAAATATGGGGGTACTATTGTGAAGGTTTACGACTAGAAGTTGGGTAATAACGTTTATAGCTATGTTAACAAACAGCTTTCCCATGACATGATTTGGTTTTCTTATAATTCAGTATATTATTTTCCATTGTTATAACTTGAATGTTTTCGTTATAATACGACAAGTTTTGTGTGATTAAAACTAGTTACAATTCGTAGTACCTATCCTCTTGTACTACGAAAATGAATCTTACTTAAACGTGTTATGAAAGCTTATATCATTATGATCTTAAATGTACGGATGGAATAATAGAGCAATACCTACAATGCACCGAAACATGAAGCGTTTGTCCACCCAAATAAAGTACGAAAACGCTGTATAAAGAAAAAGCAATCGCCCGCATTTCTTGAGTGCCCCTGATAACAACACTGCTGCAAAAATACTATATAGACAACAGATTACCTATTAAATTAAAAAGGAAAAAGGTATATATACCTGTATATATACATATTTTAACAGTCACTTTGTGATTTCATTTAAAGTAGCAGATAAACATTTTTAGTCGATGTCACGAAAGGAAATAGCAAAAAGGTTAGTCGACATCACAGAAGACCGAAGAGCTCGCAGCTACCTCGAACAAAGAATTAGTCTAGCTATTTATAGAAGGAACACTGCCAGCTGCCAGTATCTTCGGAACCTTGCCTAAAGGGACTCCTTTTAATGATATACTTTCGTTATTATATTTTTTTCCTGGGTTTTTTTTAAGTTTTAGGTTAATTGTTATACTAAATTTGAGTGTCTGTTTCATATTTTAAATTACATTATATGACATTTGATATACGAAAGGATTAAATCAAAGATCACAATATTTGCATTTAAAAAAATGTAGAAATCTTCAATCTCAAAAACCATAGTCCCATATCAGGTACGCGTTCCTACTAAAAAATATAGTCACCGTCATAAAATAAGCCACGATTTGGATCATATCAACTTTAAAAAAAAATGTATAAAAGGTTGTTTGAATCAACTTTAGCAAGCTTAGTCAAAGTCGAACCAAATTATTTTTAATCCGCGTCATCTGTCAGCAGTTTATAACAGCCAAAGATAGAGCAATTTTTCGAAAAACTATTTCCAGATTAATTAAATTGCTTATTGGTTAGCATTACCAATCAATTACACTACGAGCTAATTTCACATATTTTATTTTGATAATTTCACTTTATTTTTTCTTCTAGGAGGAGTAGCGGATTTGAAATCCTCATGGATCCTCTACAGCCGGCAGCAGGGTTATATCAGATTCTTACTGACTAAAACAAACCCGTGGGGGGATGCTTATGGCCATCAGCGCCATACAGGTTTTGTCTGATGCGATCATCCCCTAAGAAGGGGATAATTCAGCGCTGCCTTAGTAAAAACTACTACACAGTGCACTAGAGGACGGATGGACTCTGATGTGCACCGGTAATGGCTTGAGACTGAGCGACTGAAGGCCTTTCAGGATCGGGGGGGGCACTTTGGCGTGCTGCAATGCTCATTTAGCTCCTTGGAGACCAGAAGGGTCTCGACGTCACGCGAGCGTTTGTTAGAGAGGTTATTCCGTTAGAATGTTTCTTGGCCTGCCTGAGCCTATACGAGTGAATTATCCAAATCGGTCCAGTAGTTTCGGAGTTTTTTCAATACAAACAAACAATCAAATATTTCCTCTATATAATATTAGTATAGATAGTTATAAAATTTATATACTATTCAAACTATATTTATACAGTTGTTAAAATTAAAACAAACACTTACCCAACAGAGATTTCTTAGTGATATATATTGTATTGTCCTTCATGTGGTAAAAGGCCTGACAGAGTAGTGCCCACTGAATAACCAAAGCAGCTAGGAGCCAGTTGAAACCAAGAGCACTGTAGCAGTATTTCTTGAGGAAGGTCATAAGGAAGCCAAAACCGATGAATATCATCACATGTGTATCTTCAAAACCTAGAAAATGAAAACATTATTGTGAGGTGAAAGGTGAAATAGCATTTTTAATTTTTTTTTGGTCATTAGAATCAGAAAATCTTGAGTTCGAAAAAAAAATCTATATTAAGTTAGGTAAGACAACAGGCATTAAATTAACGAGCATAACAATAAAAGAAAACAATATAAGGAGTAAGGTTTTTATTAAAAAAATGAATTTGGATCTTCCAAGCTAATTACTACAATGTATGGATACATATCATTCATTGTTCATATTCGGTTTAGTAGGGCTGGGGCACTTGTTTAAACCGAAATAAAAATTGCATTTTTAATTTATATACTTAACCACCTAGGCCCAAAACTCGAAAAACGTCGCTTCTTAGGTTTCCAAACTCAATTGTCTACAGAAATTGAACCTGGGGCTAAACATAATAATTATTATATTCTAATTTAGCATTGAAACTTGTGATTTAAACATTTCGTTAAGCTTTTCATTGTCCAATTATTTTTCTTTTGTTCATTAGTGTCTAACACGAAGACTTGATTTATGGAAGTTATACTGAGAAGTCCCCTGAAATAGTAGTTTCACAGTCTGGGTACAGGCTTATTTGCATTTTTAAATCACACTCGGGACAGTCAGTCTTAATACCTTTTAATTAAAAGCTTTTTGACTTTGCATCAACCGTTATATTTACTAAGCTTTAACAATCACGTTTTCAATCTAGGATTTCAAGTAATTTAATTAAACAACTTAATTTAAAGTCTTTAAAATTATACGAAGTGATTTATTACGTGATCATTGAAAAGTATTGTAAAAATCTATTCAATCTACTTCTTATCTTAATTTTAGCCATGTTTATTACACGACTACCAAAAGTGTATCATATTTTCAGAGTTCTAGCACAGAAAATAAATCTAAAGCTTATACATATATATACTGTGACTCAGGTACATACATATTGACAATATATGTTAGAAAATAGCAAGAATGTACCCTTGTACGAACCAACATCAAATTGAATTCGAACTCGATACACGTCAAATGTCAAGAAGTTTTGTAAGGAAGATTTTTAATTCTCGTTACGTCCGTAAAATTCCTATAAAATTTCCACACAAAATTTCTTGACATTTAACGCGTATCTAGATCTATTTCGATATTGGTTCGTGCTAAGGGTATAGATAGTAAAATATTTTTTATTTTCACTACACTATTAAATGCTAGTGCAAAACTGTGATGAAACTTTATTGCCATGTGGACACTTCACGTGGCTGTTCATTTTTTAATTTGACAGCAGTCTCTTCTTTTCATTTCCTTTACCTAGAGATTACAAACTAAACAGATGTCTTTAATTAAAGCAAAGGGTTCTAATAGGCGTGTGAAGTGTGATAGTTAAATGCATAGGTTAAATGTTACCCATTTAGATAATAAAATGCTTAAATAATATTTTTACACGCCAACCAACAAGCCTTGCTCCGTAGGGCTTTGACTATATAGACGCCCAGATACCGTATTAGCAGTATGGAAGCGCCCCAAAAAATATCTACTACATATGGTAGATACGCTCGTCGCTACACACGCACACGTTGACTGCTTTCAAACAATATTGCTCTATCTAGGCGAGTGAAATTACTCAAGTGTAATGCTCGTATTCTGGTACAAATATTTGCCCCTACCAGGATTTGATCCCAGGACTTCACAGTAGGCGACACCTTAAAAACCGGTGCACTATCAGCCAATTCGATTCCTGGCCCACCATAAAAGCTTATTTTCTTAAAGACCCTTGCAAAACAAAACGGTAGATTTTCGCATTAATGTACGTACTTCTTCCTGGAAATAAAATTATTATTTTCAGATCAATCATAATTGACGTGACTGATTTTTTCGCCGCCTTCGTGTGATATAATATTTACGTTGCCCGGACCACCTGTTCTTTACCCCGCCGTTACCCCTATAGTAAAAGAAATAAAAAACACATTTAAAGATTTTATTTTTTAAAAATGGTTAATTGGGAGTGCGTGCGAGCGTATAATAAGGAGTGTCGTAAAAAAAGTTTTTCTTAGGAAAATTAAAATAAATAAGTTGGATGCCTATTGTGATTTCCCATGTGCAGGTAATTTAATAAGGATTTAGGTTTTGTGAAAAAATTAAAATTCAAAATTTGTAGATATGTTTATTACTTTGCCTCAGCCTTTTTTCGATAGGCGTTTGTTGGTTTCCCAGAAATCAAGATGAATCTTTTGTCCCCCTTAAAAGTTCACTCTCCTATCCTCCCTGATCTCAAATTGCCCGTAAATTACTTTTGCTCTTTTTTCCTTCCTTGTGAAATGGTTCTCATCCTGTTTTGATTTTTTCACTTTTTACTATTTTTAAAGGCATCCGCCCTGGCCTAGCAGGTGATTTTTGGTTTAGTTACATAGATTGGAATAATAACATAAGTATTCAGAAAGTATTAATTTTAATTATTATGCAAGTAACGCCAGGTGCAATACTTGTTTGTTTTTTCATGGTATTAATGGGATAAATAAGTGCCATTTGTATCATCAATGATACTGCTTAATGAACCAGATGGTCCAGCGAGGACGTTACATTATTTGGAGTTTAGTTCATAGACAAAATAAGAGTTTTCTTAGTAGGTAACCAAAAAAAATCTTTAAATCAAGAAATCGAAACAGTGTCTGTTAAATTTACAATTTTTGGACTCATCACTCAACATTGAAAGTTTTTTTTTAATTCAAACTAGGTATAATTCTAATTTTATGTGAAAGATGATCTACTGTATTGAAAACAAAGGTAAAATTTTAATGATCTTTGATCCACATTAATATAATTTTCTTGTTATTAGAAGGTTCTAAGTGCAGTTACGCATTCTCAAGAAGAAAACTTGTCTGTTTTGACATTTTTAAGCGACTTATCGGGCCCTTGGACCCTGGAAGTACAGTTTTACCTAAAGGTTTAGTATTGGACATTTGTTTCATCCTGGGGGCCATTCGCCTAACGGAAATGCTTTGGAAAACGCTAATGCTTTCGATTTTATTTTGTTGTTTCTGATCGTTGAAGGTTTTCAAATACCTCACGCTCATTTTTTTAATATTGTTATTACCAATGCAAAAGAAAAAAAAAGAACGCGAGGCATTTGAAAACCTCAAGCGGATAGAAATAACAAAAAGAAATCGAAAGCGTTAGCGTTATCCAAAGCATTTCCGTTAGGCGAATGGCCCACAGGTAGGCAAATGACTCTACCCCATTAATTTCTTCGATGGTAAATAGCATTCTACCGTGGAGTCCAATCTTATTCTTTTACTTATTTATGTGTTGAGCAACAATATTCAGATGCATAAAACTTGATGCAACATGCAACCAAAGATTAATTAACATTGTCAAAGCTCACAGTTGTCACGTGACAAAGGAGCCATTATCATTATTAATAACTGAGTACCTTCAGCCGGCGACTTTGTTTAAGTAAACATCGGATCTGTAATTTAGTAGAAACCTTTTAGTGGGATAAAATAAGTTCTCTACCATTCCAGTACCTATTATCCTGTTCAGTGACTGAGCAATTAATAAATGAACATTAATATAATAGTTAACTTAACTCACATAATAATAACATTAACAGTTTTAATATCCGGTGTTGTTGTTTATAAGGGTTTATCTTAGTTCAGCATAACATCAAAGTTCAGCGATTTAATTATGTTCAAATAGGGTTCGTCAAATCATCTTTTGTCATCTATTAAATGCGTGAAATCATCGAACGATCGAATCCATGTACAGTCATCACCAACCTATTAATTTCCCTACTGCAAGGACACAGGCTTTCCCTATGGATGGAATAGAGAGATTGGGTCATAACCCACCACGTGGGATTGGTGGGTGCTAATGACTGCAGATGCAGGAGGGACCAGCGGCTTAACGTGCCATTCGAAGCTCGAAGGAGCTCGAGATAATAAGTTTTGGTCACCCATCCAACGACCAACCAGCCGACCATTGTAAAAAAAACGGAAGTTAACTTCCACGATAGCAGACCAAACGCACTATCCACCTGCGCCATCGCTCTTCTCATGTACAGAACATTCATTAAAATGCACATTATTGAGTCTTAAAAAAAGGTATTTTTCTAGTTTTATGATGAACTAGATTTTGTGACAGTTGTTTGTTTTAAGCCTTTTGCTTTAAAGGTTTTGTAATCAAAATAAACAGTGTTAAACAGTGATAAATTATGGATCGATTTTAAGTTTACAAAAGGTAGGCTAAATAATTCCAAGAATATGCCAGTCGTTTTCTGTATCAGCCGTGTTATACGAAAAGTAAAAACAATACCTAATTGAATTAGTTACTATTTCTATATTAAGAGAGAGTGTACTGAATGTTGAGAAAGGAACTTTATATCAACAAAGCAATTACATTTAGGCTTTCCCTAATTTTTTGTCGTATCAGCAGGTGGTAAAAAAATTACATAATTTTAGATAAGGCTTTGCGTACTGGACCCAGCTTCTAAGTAATCAGTAGGAAAGTTTTTCACCTTTTCGTTGACATTGATGGATAGCCACTACTTCATCCCGACAAGACACCAATGATCGATTTACGAATAATAAAAAAAAAAACTCGTCACACTTAATTACCTTTTTGATGGATATTAATCAGGTTAATATTGAGAATTCTAATAGTGGACATGGCTAAATGAGACGTGGACTATAATGACTGTTTTTAGTTCCTTAAGAGAAACTGTAAAATGGAAAACAATGTGAATACCTACGCACTTTCTTAATATCTTATAATGTTTTCTGATTTGTGGCACTTGCACACGTTGGTACAGTGGTCTGATTTACGCATTACATACAAAACTGAAAAAAAAGATGATTCTGGAATTTCATTTAATTATTAAAATTTTGATTATTTTATGATACATAAAATGTCTTGTCATCTCTAGAATTCAATACTAAAACGTTTAATGGTCACGCTATTTTAAACCTCTTAAAAATATTTTTTTAAGTGTTAAAAGTTTAAACATTACGCTATGTAA